TCAAGGTCATAGAACACGAGTCACCCCGTAGAGACCTGAGCATGTGAGAGGCTGGGGGAGGGGGAGGACCCCAGACTGCGGCTGAGGCTGAGATGGGTGAGTCCCGCTGGTGTTCCGCCCGCCCACCAGAGGATGCTGATGTCGGCGAAGCAGATGGAACGCCTGCCTGGTGGTTAGAGACTCTGAAGCCCCTAGTATTAGCCCCAGGAAGTGTCACTGGGTTCTGAGAAAAACCAGAACTCTCCGAGAGGTACAAGGGGTCCAGTGTGGAGGCCGAGGGTGGGTGTGTCTTCAGGTTACACGCAGGGTTGAGATGCTCCAGCCCTCAATACAAGTACAGGGAGTTCCCAGCCTGAGGTGAGGGCCGGAGAAGGAGGCCATTGGAGCACAGCATTCCTGAGTAGCTAGGTTTTCCGGCCACAGCATCCTGTGCCAGGAACCACTGGGCCCGAAGGGAGACCCACCGAGGGAGGCATGGCACCCCTGCCCACCTCTTTGCTTTCCCATGGCTGTCGGGCAGCAAGCACAATCCCACTCTGTCCTTTCTGCTCCTCAGCCGGCTCGGCCAGCCAGCCAGCCGTGATGTGGTTCCCACTCTCCCAGTCCAGAGGCCTCTCTCCACCCCAACCCGGGAGGAAAGACAGGATCTAGAGAGGAGGAGGGGTGGGAGAGCACAGGGGAGGAGGTGGGGAGAAGGGGAGAGGGGGTGCCGAAGAAGGCTGCCTCCCGGCCTGCTGGCTGCGCTACATTTGAGTTTCTTCTTTTACTCCTCTTCCCCAGCAGAGGCCCGGAGCACAAGCATGCACGTACACACTACAGGAACGTAGTGTCCCACAGAGGGCGCAGGTGGAGCCACAGACACGCTGCCATCTGTCTAGAGGCCTGGCGCACACACTAGAGCACCATGACAAACACTTGAAGACACGAGAATCCACCCACAGTTTCCCACCGGCATCTCCCCTACTGCCCGCCATGTCTTTGTTCCATGGCTCCCACCGGGCTTTGATCCCTTCCTCCCTCTGGTCCCTCCGCCTCTCCTCCTGAAACCTCCCAGCCTCCTCTCCAAGGCCCAGTGCAG